CGGCAGCAACAGAGTTGGACTTGAGGAATGCAGTTGGGAGGCATTTTAAACAAGAAATAAAACCAATAATTAATAATTTCCTTTAAGTTCACTGTTGGTTGTTTTATGTTAAAAGTAAACCAACAAAAGGGTTCATCTTTTTTTTATGTTGTCATTTATCCGTAATGTTTTAATGTTAAGTGTGATAACATGCTCTTGATTTGTATTAGATTTTTTTTCTTTTAAATATCTTAAGTTATTTAAAATATTTTATTTTTTCATTTTTATATTTTTATCTTAATTTTTATCATAATATTTATATTTAAGTGTATTGTATTTATAACATTTTATTTTGTCATTCATTCTTTTGTATTTTTATCATTTTGTATTGTCTTAAATTGTCCAAGTTGTTAAAAATGTTATTTTTCTTAATAAAAGCTGTATGTATGGATTGCCATTTTGTTGTCTATTAGACGTTTATATGTAGTCGTTTGTGTCGTACAATAGCCGTCTAATTGATGACTAGTCTATTCTTGGGCTATGATTAGACGTCTATTAGATTTTCACTGACAGCCCAAATTTAGCCTCGTTTTAGCCTAGACGTCTAGGCTAAATTTAGACGTTTAATAGACGTCTTTTCAACGCAAAATTGCTTGCTGGGTGCCTTTCTCCCTGTGGATTACCCCTTTTGTGGATTATTAAAGACTTTGTATTATCTTCATCTCCGTCCTCGTTCGTTCCCTCGTGCACCAAACCGTGACAGTTTTATTTATAGACATAATTTTTTATTTATCATTAGAATATATTTTTTTGTATTTTTATACCTCTGTACTCACCTCATATTTTCTGTGTATGTACGCCACATTATAATCTAATGTCACCAGAGGGCGCGCAAAGTAAAAAAAAAAATTGAGCATTTTACTCTCCCATTCGCTCGAGTGTGAACGTGAACGGATTATATTTCCATATTAGCTGGTATAAATTAAGAATTAAACATTTTGAATTCGTCACACATTGACCAGAATTATAACTACCAGATTCAAAAGGCTACATTAAAGATCTTCCTAAACCACTTATTAAAACAAAAGAACAACTTGTTTTTGTAACTTTGTTTTTTTTAATTCTTCTTATAAATCACACATTTTTCTTGCGCGACTTGATCACGGTGCGGCGCGCTGGCGTGTCTCGTCCTCAGTGGCTCGCAGCGCGTCGCGCGCCCCCCGCCCCCCCAAAACCGAATACGAGTGCGCGCGAGAAATGCAGCGCGAGACACACACCGAGCAGCCCCGATAAACCCCGCCGAATCCACGCGCACGGGAAAAAACACATTGGGAAAAACAGCACACGCTTGAGAAAGGAGTGACAGGAAAGTCCACCGCCGACGGTAAGAGTCTTTCAATCCTTCAGTAGATTAAATAAACACTCTGCCTCAGTTACATGAAGAATTTGTCTAGTTGGAGCGTCTCTGATAAATAAGAGCGGCTCCCATTCGGAGACAGAGCGCACGGCAGTGAACTGGGACAATATCGAAATCAAGTGTACTTTCAGCACGTCATTCTGCGGGTGAATGGAGTATTAATGTATGTGAGCTTATATGATTTCTGAGATGCGCGTAAAGATTTCAATAAATCAGCCACGGAATTCAGGCGGATGAACTGAGTGGAGAGGGGCGTGTCCTGAGCAGACGAGCTGTCACTGCGCCTGCATGCCGCAGCTTTCTCGCTATTTATTATTTGATTATAAGATTTGATTGAAAGTTGCTCATAAGATGAATTAAGGAGTATTAGAATAAAGCGTAATTAATAAAGGAAATGTATAATTTTATAATAGATTTTCAGAGTCGTGTTTTGTATGGGGTAATAGTAATGGTTTTGGTTATGTTTCCAAAGTAAATGCTGCTTTTTACTGTCTACACGGACGCGGATTTATGCCCACCGTCCTCTTTTGTCAGAGCTGGCACACATTTTGCAGCGCTGTCTTGACTGGTGCACACGCGGGCGCCCACACACATACACAGATATTGCGAAGCTTATAAATAATATACACACGATAAATCCTTATAATTAATTTTGTTTGTACACATATTTTTTTCACCGTTTGTGATGCTATACAATGCCATAGAGACAGTTTCTAAACCCTGTCACTAATGTAAAGCGAACAAGGTTTTTCTCTCTATATCCAAGCGACATTTTTTTTTGTTTATTTATTATTTCAAGCTACAACCGTAATTGCCTGATCCTTTGTCTCTGCAGAGCACATGCGCATTGCGCGTAGGGTGTGGATGGACAACTGATGCTTTTACCTCCTATATCTCTCGCATTGTCTACTAATGCACAACTGTATTTATGATTTAAATATTATTTTTCTGCAGCTGTGTTCATCAATATTCCGTTTGTAGAGAAATCTATTTTACGTTTCACGGCGATGCCGCAGACAATGAACCGAGTGACCGTGCGCTCGTGCTCGCCTCTCTTGAGGGACCCCGCACACTAAAATGACACCGTGCAAAACGTCTCTGCCCAAATGTTGTCTATGCTTTTTTTCCCTTCTGGATAAGAGCCGATATTATGGGACAGAGGTGAGTTTGAGATAAAGAGCGGGCGGTGTGATCATAATCCTCACGTTCACACGGATCAATAAACCGCCGCTTGAATGAGTCACGCGTTATAACCTGGAAACATCAAACCAACATGAGAACTGAGCGCTGATTTTGCCTGAAAATTGAGGTATCCTTTTGCCAAATTGTTGGCTTTTAAATGTTCAGAACACTACCAAAATAAATAGTTAGGTGTTAGCGCAATAACAAATGTACAGTGTAAAAACAATTTCAAACATATTTGCTATTGATTATTGATCTTCCGTGAACTGGATTGATGACATAAAACATTGCTATAATGGTTGCTACACTATGGAAATGGCATCTCTCCCTCTCTGTGTGCAAGCTAGAGAGAGAGCGAGAGAGTGACAGAGATAAATGAATATCTACATCATTTCAGGTCTCATTTATGTGTCCAGTGCATTTGTATAATGCAGAAGAGCCTGAAAGCAACTCATGCAGGAGCCACTCAGCCACCAAAAACATTATTAACCCTGCATGTGTGAGTGCCAACATTTAAAGATCTGCAGTTTTGGTTCTGAGTGCTCATGAGTTGAATTAGGAATAATCTTGATTAAATGTGGGTTTAAGATTGAGTGTGACATTCCCTGTACTAGGTCACCTACAGAAACAAGAAGAGCAGTCAGGTGATTCATGTCAGTGCGAGACGCCAGTTTCAAGCCCAGCTGGAGTTTTGTGTTGCAATAGTAGAAGAGAGCAGGACTCAGGAGGAAGCAGTGAGAATGAGAAAGACCTGTATTGTCTTGGGTAGTTCATGATTGCAGATACTTGTAAGAGGAATTTTACAGTCTGAGTCAGTGCACATCAGTCTAGTTTTAGCCAAAGAGCTGAGAAAGAATGGATTTTGATTTTATTTTATTTTTGCATTTATTTACAGGGCAGTAGAAGGAAACAGACATGTGATCAGCTGAAGAAAAAAAGAAGGAAAACCTGTTTTTGCCCATTAAACAACAACAATGTATTATTATTAATAATAAAAAATACAAAAAATAATTTTATTTAAATTATAAAAATTAAATCAATAAATAAATATTACTATTAATAATAATACAATACTACTTTGTATTGTGAAATAAAAAAACTATTAAAATAATAATTAAAAAAAGTATTTAATAATAATAATGATAATGTTGACAACAGATTTATAATTGTTTCTGATTACAAATTTGGGAAGATAAGCATGTTGCGTTTTTAAATGCACGTTTTAAGCGACCCAAACTTTCAGAGATGAAGTTCGTGTGATGCAGCATTTACTGTGAACCGAGCCACTCCGGGACTCTTGAATCTTCAGCTGCTCACGTGTAAATAAACACAGTGCCGCATTTCACTGTGAAACACACAGTAGCCCACAATTAGTACACAATTATTGGGCAGCTAGCAAGTTTCACCACATATACTTGCCAACACTGTTTTTACTCGCTTGGTGCTTGTTGGGTGTTAATTTTGGACCCTGGCTGAAATGAAGTAAATATACTTGAAAATGCAGCAGTTTTTTTTCCCTCAGATTTGGGCAATTCATACTTTAGGTCAGAAAATACGGAAATTATATCAAAATGGAAAAATCACATTCCTGAGGAAAGTGAAAGAGAGAGAGAGAGCCAGTGGAATCGAGACATAAACCAGGCTGGATCTGAACCTGGATCCCTGTGGGCCAATAGCTCACAACATCCTAGCAATCAGGCAAGACTCCCTAGCAACATCCTGGGCTGGTAACCGAATATATAAGTGCTCTACCTCAAGTGTGCCACAAATCGACAAAGGCAGTGAAATCATTTTTGTTGCGTTCTAAAATCTAATACTGAATTCAGTGCACCAGGTGCTTTCATCTGAATATTTAGATGATTGTGATCACAGTTTTCAGTGTTTGTCAGAAGAAGAGCAGGACAGACATGAAAGCAAGAGAGAGACAGGAAGGAGGCAGTGAGACAGGATGTCACTGACAGAGAAAGAGGCAGCTCAGCCAAGCAGAGCTTTGTGTGTGTGTGTGTGTGTTTGTTTGAGGAAGATCATTGAAGGGGACAGATAACTCAAGAACATCTGAGACGGTCCCAAATTAGAGATGCATTCAAAATCACAGTTATTTTTGGACTTGTCACTTAAGTAAAAAAAAAAGAATTTCAAAGTCTGCGTACCCATTCTGTCACACCGTTGTTAACTACTTCAGATTAGTGGAGCATTCTTTTATTATTAGATGCTTTCCTCAGGCAGCCTTAGTTGTGCTGGCAGAACTTGATAAATTTGAGTGTCAGTCACTAGTCAGGTTCTGTCCCATCATGCTTTGCAGTCTGTGTGCACTGTGTGGAAAGTGATTGGTGGCTTTATGAGGAGCAGTAGAACTGAGCCTGGTATTGTTTCACTTTTCCATTTTTTCTGAATAATTATTTGGCTTTTAAAATTATTTATGGCTATACGTACACACTGCAGCTGAATTCGGTTGTCATTTAGTGCTTAATCCTGTTCTGTATACACACAGTTCAGTAATTTATGGAAGTGGCAGCTGCATTCTGCAACCGAATTGACTCAAAAAGCAGGTAGTGACAACCTTATTTTCAGAAACTCTACACAGTGTGTATGCAACCAAACCGAAAAACTAGTTGTTAATAATGTATTTAAATGCGTTTCACAGTTGTGTCTTTTCTGTATGTGCAGTGCAAGAAATCACAGGGTTTTGACTCATTAGTGTTGCCAGATCTTTATAGAAAAAAAACAACAAATAAGAACAAACCCATAATAAATTTAAATCCAAACGCGTTTTCTTGGAAATAAGCCACATACCAAAATATAGTGACCTGCACCTGCCTATTTTATTAACTCCATAAACTGTATTGCTTTATGAGTCAAGCCCAAACAACAAGTCCAAATAATCCAAAACAACACTGGACCCCATTGACTTTTATTGTATGGATAAAAACAGGCGAAACATTCTTCAAAATATCTTAATATCAACCCACAAGATGCGTGGGTTGATATTCATGTGTTTCTTTATTTCTATGATTATGTGTTAATTATCATCTGTTACCTGGGTAAGCAGCAGCTCAGATTCCTTGATTCTGATATAGTGTGTGTCATCATGGAATCTCTCTCTGGGTTGCCATGGCGATGACCTGAAGAAAGTGTAAGAATGAGCCAGAATGGCAGCACTCCTATGGTTTCTACGGCAACAGCCAATCAAAGGCCAGACCCCCACTGACCCCACCTGTCTGTTACAGTCCCTTGGAGAGAGATATAGAAACAAAACAGCATTAGTGCAGGATGAGAGCATTGAACAGGCTAAATCTGACAATGACCAAAACACATACATGAATGTATAAATGACATCAAATAATAATACGTCAGCTGTCAGAGAGTGATAAATGTAGTCTGGTATCATTATATATTTACAGTATAAAACCTTGTGAAAGTACAGACAGGAGTGAAGGCATATTTAAAAAACGTGTGCTGTGTTCAGGACATCGACTCTATAATCAAGGCCTAATGAACAATGCAGTCGCCACTTGTTTGACCAGCAAGTTTCCCACAAGAATGAAAACATTAAACACTGTGGATTTGTATGTGTCCATTTTTTTTCCTGGTGATATGTGGATTATGTTTAGACTAAGCCTAAATCTCAGATATTTAAGACAATATTATATGGCTTTTTTTAAACTTCATGAAGTCAGATATGAAATCTTAAGTTAATATGTAAAAAAAAAAACACCACATATACTGTAATATATATGTATACTGTGCAATAAAAATGTCTAGTAAAAATATGTGGGCGTTTCTTC